TCTTTCCCTCCTCCCATCCCCACCAGCTGAACCTCTCAAGGAGCAGAAAGAAACATGGGCTTTCAGTGAAACAGGCTGCAGCGTGAATGCCAGGACCACCACTTACTGGCCAGGCCCTTGTGAAAATTTCCTAACTTCTCTGAACCTCCATTTTCTCAACTGAAGAAATGAGGGGCAGGGGCAGGGGCAGGGGCAGGGGCAGGGGTGGTCCAAGAGAGGCCTTAACTTTCTCACACGCCATGATGTTCTCTCTAAGGATGCATCTCGTAAGACATATCCCCCCGTGGGGGCACAAAGCACCCCAACAGTGCTCTTTGGCCCCTTGGGGCTGTCCATGAGATGCTTTAAGCAGGGGACGTATTCAGGATGCAGGGTTGGAGAGTAAACGAATGCAGGTCTGATGGTCCAAGATCACCCTTAAATGATGGTAATCATTGATTGATCACCTAGCCCTGGCCAGACCCTTCATTGAATCTCCCCAGCAACCCCGTGAGGATACCTCCATATGACAGATGAGAAAACAGGGGCTTGCAGAAGCTGGTATCTGGCCCAATATCCCACAGCAGGGGAACCGTGGAGCTGGGGCTCAAACCCAGCTTGGGTCCTAATCCTTCAGCTGCACTGACTCAGTCGTGACAGCAACCAGGAACGCCATTTGCTCTCCCCACAGCGCAGAGAGTGCCTTAGCAGAGTCTTCAGTTACTGGCCAGCTGAAATCTCACTTGTCCGTTTATTCAGAGGGGTTTAGAAATACACTGCAGCAGAGATGCTTTTCTCTAAAATCTTACAGGATTCAATTTTTTTTAAATGTTCACCAAACAAATGGTACCTTAGGGAACTCATGAGCCTGCATGTGTTTAGGAGAGGGGGGTGGGAGGAGGGAGATGTGAATGGTCAGGGAAAGCTGTGCCCCTTTTACTCAGATTCTTTTCAGGGGCACACAAAGACCTTCCTCGGGGAGAAGAGGCCGAGAAAATAATCATCTCCCAGAGGGTGAGCACTTGTGAAATTCTGGCTTGAGGATAAGATGCCAGTCAGATCCCATTACATACACGAGGCTGGTGCCAAAGTCCCAACTGAACCTACCTATGTTTGGGGAAGTGTGTCAACAGCACATGCTTCAGAGAAGACCTCCTTCTAGAATCTGGAAATAGCTGTCCATGCTCACCCAGATAGAACATGCACACCAAAACACACTGCCTTTGTTTAAAACCCCTTCTCAAGAGACCTGCAGCCAGGTACCTGCTCTTTCCCTCTCCCAGCCCTGCTTTAAGTTAAGGTTCAGCGAAAAAGTTAGGCAGGGGGCTTCCCTGGTGGCGCAGTGGTTGGGAGTCCGCCTGCCGATGCAGGGGACACGGGTTCGTGCCCCGGTCCGGGACGATCCCACATGCGGCGGAGCGGCTGGGCCCGTGAGCCATGGCCGCTGAGCCTGCGCGTCCGGAGCCTGTGCTCCGCAACGGGAGAGGCCGCAACAATGAGAGGCCCGCGTACCACACACACACAAAAAAGTTAGGCAGATATCTAAGTGTCTATGTGGGTAATGGTTAAAGTCCTGGGCTCTGGGCTTCAAATCTGGGCTCTGCTGTTTATTTGCTGTGCAACTCCAGGCAAGAATTTAACCTCCCAAAGAGTTGGTTTCTTCTTTAAAATGGAGATGACGATCATGATAGTTACTCTATAGAGTTGTTAAGAGGATTAAATGTGATAATATATGTAAAGTACATAAGACAGTGCCTGGCCCATAGAAAGCCCTTGATACACAATTGTTGCTGCCGTTATGTGGTTTGCGCTCTGGCTTTGCCACCATCCAAGCTGTGCGACCTTGGCAGATCAGTCCCCTTATCTCTGGCTTGTTTTGTAAAGTGAGGAGTTTGGTTCCGTGGTTCTGTGTTCCAGAATCATCTGGGACACTCTTTAAAATACAGGTTCCTGGACCACAATCAGACCTACTGAATCAGAATCTCCAGATTTGCGCCCCAGTGAGCTGGAATTTTCACATCTACATAGGCAATTCCAACTAGTTAGAAATCCTTGAGCTAAATAATTTTCTAAGTCCTCTCCAGTCCCTTTCAAATGGACTTAAAGTCTCAAATGGCCATTGTGACACCTTCTCCAACGACTCTCAACCATGGGACCTCTCCTCCTGTATCCTCAGCACCTACAGCAGAGCATCTGGCACAGTAGAGGTCCACGGATAATGCTTTTTTAATTGGAACGTATTCCCAAACTTTTAAGCCTGCCCTGCTTCACAATGCCTCGTGTTTTAGTTATCTTCTTAGGGGTTAATTCGTGTCTTATCTCCCCAGCCAGACTGCCCCACTTCCAGTTATTCAATGACCGATCACCCAGGACATTAGACTTTTCTCTCCTTTCTGCTGACCATTCATTTACCACTAGCTTCTTTACCATACGCGAGGCAGGGATGGGAGAGGATAGACATCAAGCACATTAATCTTTTGCTGTAATTCTGTCTTGTCTATTGAATGAGTGAATGGGGGGTGAGGGTCATCAGCCAGCAGGAAATATTGTAATTAATTTTCTGGGGATTAAAAAAAATAACATCAGAAGGACCTGTGAAATTTAGTTTATGTATTAAAACAAACTCTTGAAAAGGACCATGCTATGGTGCAGTGAATGTAACTAAAGCAGCAACAAAGCCCAGACCCACCATAACTACAGACCAGATGGACTAAAAGTCCCACTTTAATGGCCTGGCAGAGGAAAAGGCATGCTCTTCTCTGGGCATAAATTATGCATCTGTCTCTACTGTCCAGCATTACTCACAAGGTCCAGCATTACTAAAAATTACAAGACACACGGAAAAGAAAGAAAAATATGACCCATCACCAAAAGAAAAAATAGTCAATAGAAACGGAATCAGAGATCAGGTGTTGCGATTATCTAACAGAGACGTTCAAGTACCTGTAATAAATATTTTAAAGAATCTAATGGAGGGACTTCCCTGGTGGCACAGTGGTTAAGAATCAGCCTGCCAGTGCAGGGGACACGGGTTTGATCCTAGGTTCGGGAAGATCCCACATGTCATGGAGCGACTAAGCCCATGCGCCACAACTACTGAGCCTGTGCTCTAGAGCCCATGAGCCACAACTACTGAGCCCACGAGCCACAACTACTGAGCCCATGCACTGCAACTACTGAGTCCAAGTGCTGCAACTACTGAAGCCCGTGCACCTAGAGCCTGTGCTCCACAACAAGAGAAGCCACTGCAATGAGAAGCCCGAACACGCAACGAGGAGTAGCCCTCACTCACCACAACTAGAGAAAGCCCGCGCGCAGCAACAAAGACCCAACGCAGACAATAAATAAATAAATAATAAATTATTTTTAAAAAAGAATGTAACCTGTAGAGAGAGACTGCCTATTTAAAAAAAAAAAAAAAAGAATCTAATGGAGAAAACATGCATGAACAGATGAAGAATTTCATCGGTGAGATGGGAACTATAAAAAAGAGCCAGTGGAAATGCTGGAAGTGAAAATCACAATATCAAAGATGAAGAATTCTTCCAGTGGGCTTATGAGCAGAATGGATATATCAGAGGAGATAATAAAACTGAAAACAAAGACAGGAATATGAAAGACTGGAAAACAAATTCCACTCTTCATTGGAGAGACCTGTAGCTACATAATCCCTCCCTTCCCTGGCCCAAGTAATTGGAGCTTCCCTGCTGGGGCAAATGGGACTTCTTCCGAGGAAATCAGAGCAAGAGCCACCAGGGGCCACTTACAGCTTCTCCTCTAGTCAGAAAGGAAGGTGTGTATAATAGTTTAATACATTTTAGGCTCTCAGATCAAAGTCAGCTCCTTGTGTAAAACAGGCCAGAAATAGAACTCTGGATGTCGGGGTGGTGGTGGAAGGGAAACCCATGGAGAGCATCTGAGCCCTCCAAGAGGTTCTGCCCTTCAACCCTTCAGCTACAGGCACCACCAAATCTACACGAGGGGTTCCTTGTCACCTTCTCGTCGGTGGGGAAGCTGGTGCCCATCCTCTGACCCTCAGCAGGTTCTAGAGTCATGTACTGGGCAAAAAAATCAAATAAAATATCTACCAAATTTCCTTCCAATTTTGAGATTCTAGAAATCCCCACAGTAAAAAAAAACTTTAATGATTGCTCCTCTCTCAGGGTTAAACCGTCCACCTTGCACATCCGTCTGCTGGTTTATTTCTATTCCTTCATTCATTTTCTCATTCATTCACTCAACAAAATATGTGCCGTGAGCCTCGTACATGACAATCATGTCTCTCTTTCTGTGCGGGGGGGGGGGGGGGGAGGGAAGAAGTGGGGAGGGAAGGGGAGAAATTGTTTTCTTAATTTCCTTTCTGCAAGGGACTGGGCTTGTCTCCCTCTCCTGCCCCACTTTAAGATTTTTCTTTTCTAGCTGGTTCTTGAGCCAGTTGGAATTTGCTTACAATTGTTCCCTTGGCAATCATTAACCTTTATGCTTTCACTCTTGATTAAGAACCCAGAGCAATCAAAATCCCTGTTTATTTAAAACAGATTGCTAAATGGGCTTGCTTCCTTCACTAAAAACAGAAACAGGGCATTAAAAACAAAAACAACGTTTAAATAGAAAACTTGAGAATATGTTAAATAAAATTTAAAGGTGTGTGAGATTTTTGGTTTGGGGGGCAGTGGTGTTGACAGACTACAGAGATTCCACAAGAAAAAATGGGGCTGACTTTTAATTTTCTTTTCTTTTTCAGAAGGTATGAACATTGCAATGGGCAGGACAAGACTCCACCCCACGGCCTCCAGTCCTGGGCTGGCACCTGAGTAGCGGCCAGTGCCCCAGCGCCTGTCAGGATGGGTCCAGTCCTCATTGCAAGATGCGTTAGCCAAGGTCCATGATCCAGGCAAGGAGGAGGGTGAGGTATGTTTGCTTTTAAACCATGAGGAAGCTCCTTAAAGAGCTGTGCCGAGGGTCGGAGCTCAATCAATATTTAGTGCACGTGAGAACAAAGAATGGGCCTGAATGTTCTCCCCCAAACACGATGTATACAGTTACGGCAAGAACTCCAAAAACAACATTACCACTCAGCTCCAGGGCAAAACATGTCCTACTTATATATGCATTTGATCAACATTCACTGTTGAGCTGTTTCTGAAACTTATCAGGAGGGCACATCTGTCCTAGATTCTGAGCCACTGGAGGCCAACGAGCTTGGCAGTCAGGCTCGGGGGCCAGAGCCATGAGCACGAAGGGGTTTAGTGATACATTCGGAGACCAGGCTGGTGCATGAAGCACCAAGAACTCTCACGTCCCTTAGTATATATCACCTCACTTAATCCTCATGGCAAGTCTATAGGGTTGGGGATTTCATCTCAACCGAGGCTCAGAGATGTTAGGTAACTTGCTCACGGTCACCCACAGGATGTGAAGCCAGGGCTGGCCAACTTCATAGCAGGATCATCTAACCTCGGCCCCCCTACCTCTCATTGTTTATCGAATGTTGGAGATGATGCCAGAAGGGCTGTAGGCATAGGGCGCAGAGCCTCAGACAATCGTCCCATTTCTGTCTTCTCCTGAACCCGTCTCTGAACTTCATGCTCTGAGTTTATATTTCCAGAAGGGTGTGAACACACACGCAGATGCACTCATTCTGTGGCACAGCCCAGCTGTGGTATCGCCAGCAGCACGAACACTGATTAGATGGCACAAGACTTTGTTGAGCTCTGGAGGCCTAGCCTCTGGGGGCAGGAGGCCCATCTGTCCCGTCTGGGAACCCCTCCACTGTAGGTACTCTTGCCAAGGGGGTTTAGCACTGCAGGGGCTGGAACCCAGATCTGCAGAGCCCATTAGACCGTTTGGAATTTCTGCTTGTGCTTTGGTTGCATCACACACATGCCCACTTGTGTGTGTGGGGTCTTTGCCCCTTGGTCGTTTTAGTTCTGGCTGAGGACACAGGGCTGTCTCTAAACCTTATGAAAACATAATCCGTTTAATCTCGTGGAGGACCAGGTTTGTGTCACTGAGAATGGTTACCCTTTAAATGAAATAGAACACAACAACCCTTTGGGGACCAGCTAAAACGTTGGAGGCTTTGGGGGGCTTTTTTCTAAGAGAACACGTTTTCAGCTGATGAGGCATAATGAACACAGGTGCGGATAAGTCCCCTGCCTGCCCCCGACACCTACATGCCCAGACCTCATCTCTCCCCATATTTTACTTAATGGGAAGGAGAATCGATATTACGCTGAAAAGTTTGAAGGGTACAAAAGCAGGGTTCAAAACGACTGGCCTGGCTGGAGCCCCGTGGTCCCTGCCCCTGCGTGGACGCTGGGGATAAATGACCCTTAACAGCTTCCAGCCCCCCGGACAGCTCTGCAAAAACTCGGCTTCTACTGCTATGTTCATTTTCCATTCGCACTGTGTTCATTCTCTCCCCGCTTTATCTCCCACCAGCCACGCTGCTTATTTCCTCTCTGTAGAACCCCACTCTTGGGACCAGGGGAAAACATCCAGAGAGAAGAATCCAGAAAGCGTCACAGGTAAACTCCAGAGGCACGGCAGCTGTGGCCGCGAGAGCAGCTGCTCATCGTCAGCCCTCTGAAGCGCTGTCCACCCCAAACGCGCACAAATAAATAAATAAAAAAGCCCAGGGCTTCCCTGGTGGTGCAATGGTTGAGAGTCCGCCTGCCGATGCAGGGGACGCGGGTTCGTGCCCCGGTCCGGGAGGATCCCGCATTCCGCGGAGCGGCTGGGCCCGTGAGCCACGGCCGCTGAGCCTGCGCGTCCGGAGCCTGTGCTCCACAACGGGAGAGGCCACAGCAGTGAGCGGCCCACGTACCGCAAGAAAACAAAACAAACATACAAAAAAAACAGAGAATCAAAAGGTGACTTACAGTGGATTTTGAAGTCCTTGTACTGTCTGTCCTCAATTGCTACCACGTACAATGCTGCCCGGTCTGGAAACATAAGCCCTCCAGGTTTCTGTTGATGAATTGTGGAGAAATGGGTCTCGTAATCTATTCACCTGACAAAGACATCACATTTTTGAACTGCACATAGAGTCACCAGACAGGCACCCCCTTGCCAGTATTTCTCACTCAGCAGACTGTCTGTCACCTTGGCCGGGACTAGGGTTGGGCAGGGAAGCTCAGTTTTGACTTTGGCACATGGGAAAACTCAAGGGGCCGAGGTGGGGTCAATGGGACACATGAGGAGGGGCAGAGGTATGTCCAGTGAGGGACGGTGGAAGATGTTTTAACTTTTGAGCCTGGAGAAGGCAAAGGCCAAAAGCACACTGGGCCCTCTGGCAGCCCTGCAAGTCCCTAGCACTTGGTGACCAGCATAGACTTTGGACAGCAAAGAATGGGTGTCAATTATACCAAAAGAGGCCAAGGTTAGACCTAAGAAAGCTCATTCTGTCCCCGGAAGCAAATCTAGTTTAAAGAGAGGGGCCTGGAAGCAGTGGCTGTATTCTTCCTAGGCTGCAGGCGGTAGGGTAGAGCAGCGAGGCAGCCAGCAGACCAGCGAAGCGACAGCATGCAGCAGGCTCACCAGCCACTTGTCCCTGGCAAAGATGACGGTGTTGAGCATCGATTCATAGAACAGACAGTAGCCCATCCACTCGCTGATGATGATGTCCACTTTCTCCTCGGGCAGTTCCACCTCCTCCACCTTCCCCTTGAAGATGGTGATGACTGGAAAATAAGAACCCCATGGCCACACTTTTGGGGCACCCTGACCGGGAGCCATTAGCACCCCACATCAGGACCCGATCGACCTACAGGTGTCAGCGCTCTTCTGGTTCTCCTTCTAGGAGGTGGCATATCTCCCCCTTCACCAAGCTAGTTTACCCTAAGAGGATTGAAAACTCTTGGCATGTTCCCCCTAAAACGTATTGAGCAGTTGCTATGTGCCTGGCACTGTGCTAAGCCCAAGACAGGCACCCGTCCTGTCATCGTCCAACAAGTCTTTGAAGTAAACACTCTATTCTTATTCTCCTCTTTAAGGAAACTGAGGCTTAGAGGGGTTAAATGATGACCGTGCAAACAGAGCCCGGGTCTGATAAGCAGCGACTCTCACACTTATCGGAGTCCCCACCCCATGTCAGGCTACCGTGATGATTCAAACCCACAGCAGGAAGAGAGGCTGCCTCTCTTACCCTTGTATCTGTTCACAGCCCGGGCTTAGCCCCAGGGGGTGCCCACCTAGAGCTGGGGAGGAAGGAAATTTGGTGTTTTGACAAGAGCATGGGCTTCGCACTCAGGAAACCTGGGTTTAAGTGCTGGATCTTCTCGTTACTAGCTGTATGACTCTCCGCAAGTTACTTGACCCAACCGAACTCCAGTTCCCCAGAGAACAACCAGGGGAAGTGATATCTACATAGAGGGAGGTTGTACTGATGTAATGAAATGTCACAGGTGAGGTACAGGCTCGCAGTTGGGGCTCTAGAGAAGGCAAGCATTATCTGGCACCGTCTCCTTGGTGACCGGCCGATGGAGAGGTAAAGCGGGTAAGATCGGGACAAAGGCCCTTCTCTAAATGGCCTCTGCTCCCGAGTCCCTTCCAAGACCCATCCCTCTACGGCAGGAGAAACTTCTCAGTTGAGTTTTTGATCATTTGACGCAGACATACACAGAGTTTAGGAATCTCGTTTTGCATTCACCGCTGTAAAGATCAGAGCAAAAGCTATCTTAGATGCCACTGGCTGTGCAGTTGACACAGGGTGATGTGTTGGTTGGCTGGTCCCATCAGAACCTTTCCTCTGGACGGAAACTCTGCATCATCCTCTGAAAAAACCACCCAATGCCTGAGCTTTTCTGGGAAAACTAAACAGTGGCCTGTACTCAGGAATAAAAAGCAAAAGAAAACAAAACACCACCTCTGTCCTGAATCTGAGTTTCCTGAAAATTAATGTGGATGACAGACTCCTAGACGGCAAGGGGCACTCAGGTCACCGGCTTTACTCCCCGCCCTCACAGTGGGTGGTGCTGGGGTGCCCATCAGCAGTGTCTAATGATGATTTGCTCTCCAGGGCGTGGTGTTTAATCAAAGCTTAATCAGATAAGGCCCCTCTGGAAGGAGTAGGTGTCAGGCACTTTGGGCACAAAGTGGGGTTGTGGTTTTTTTTTCCCTGCAGATAACTTTAATAAGGCATGGGCTGATGGTCGATTTGTGGAACTAAAGGTCGAAGAGGGAGGGCATCACACCTGGCTGGCTCATGCACTGCTGGATACTTTCCAGCCGAGTGGAGTCCAAGGCGCGGGCCTCCTCTGCAAAGCGGCGGTGTCCCTCGTCGGTCAACTTCCAGAGGCAGGATCGGGGCCGTGTGCTGGTCCCACCCTGCGTGCCGACCGGCACTTTCTCAAAGCTGTCTCGGAAACAGAGATCGTGACGCACGGTATTCTTCCAGCCTTCAGGAGCCGTCCGGAATAAAGGGGAAATGTTGCCGAGTGGAACTGTAGATCTGTTGCACGTTGAGGCCACAGGGCGAACCGTTTCTTAATGCCAGTGCAATTAGGCGGAAGTAATTGAGAGGGGGCCGGGACCAGAGCCTCCCCTCCTGGCTGTTGGCTTGCCGAAGCCTCCGACCCTGGAAGGGGGCCCTTTTGTGAGGGGACGGGAGAGCCACAGCGGAGCTGTCATCCTGGCCCTCAGCCTTCTCCTCTGTGAGCTCCCAGCTGCTGGGGGGAAGAGGCAAACCGCTTCCGAGGGGGATACTGGTCTCCAGAGAGTGATGGTGACTCCACCACTGTGGCCTCTGGGCATTTGGCAGTCTTGTTCTTTTGGGGGTGGCTGAGGGCACATTGGCCCTGATCACTGCCTGGCTTGCGTGGTCCTCCTGCTTCCTGCGCAGAAGCCCTGCCCCTGGGAAGGAAGGGTAGGAAGGGCTACTCTTCACCAAAAGGCTCGGAAGGGGAGGGGGCTGTCAAAGCTCTGCTCCTCGGGGGCTTGAGACCCAAGGGCAGGAACTCAAGCTAGAGCAGGACCCAGGATGCAGAAGGATCATTCACAAGGGGACAAAGCACGGGATTTTTGAAAATGCAAATAGAGTACCTAATTTAGTTTATTCCGAAAAAGAACTGGCAGATATATGCCGGATCCACCTGCCTAATCATTTGCACGCAAAGCCTGATTTGTCTTATTTTTGTAAACATTTGAAAGTGTTTTCTTTCTCTTTGCACATCTCTTGAAGGCTCTTCTGTAATGGCTGCACGTGACTGTGGGGCTATGGTTCGGTCCCTCCTCCTTCATTAATCACGACCTCCCTGAGGCACAGGAAGATGTTTTCTCCTGCCTCTGGTGCCCCATGGCCTCTACTCTGGGTGCCTAGGACAAGGCTCACCCGTGATTCCATAGACAGGACTCCATAGGACCTTGGAAAGCAGAGGTGGACAAGAACTTCTAACCAGTCCAACAGACAGGAATGTACAGAATATTCCTCGGGTGCCCCCCAGCGAGAGTGTATGCTCTTCCTGATCTCTGCACTAGCACTCCTATCCACTAGCTGCTTATCCTGATCTATATGGATGCAACAGATGATAGGCAGATGATAGGTAGGTAGATAGATAGATAGATAGATAGATAGATAGATAGATATAGATGATAGATAGATGATAGATATAGATGATAGATATAGATGATATAGATGATAGATAGATATAGACGATAGATAGATATAGATGATAGATAGATATAGACGATAGATATAGATGATAGATAGATATAGACGATAGATATAGATGATAGATAGATAGATATAGACGATAGATATAGATGATAGATAGATATAGACGATAGATATAGATGATAGATAGATAGATATAGACGATAGATATAGATGATAGATAGATAGATATAGACGATAGATAGACATAGATGATAGATAGATATAGATGATAGATATAGACGATAGATAGATATAGATGTTAGATAGATAGATAGAAGATATATCATAGGTGCAGTGGATCACAGAACAGCAAAAATCACAGTTTCTGCCTACCAAAGGCAGAAGGAATCAATTAACCCCCTACAATGCTGAACAGCCTGGACCTCTGTCCACTTATCACCCTTCTGCATCCAGATATTTCTGGGAACAGGCATGACCCCCCCTCAACTTGGCTTGTTGAGTAGATGGGCCCTTTGTGAAAGGAAAAATGCACACCTCACTTCAGTCCAGCTGTGGCCTGGATTCCAGACCCCTTTCATCCCCTTGTCCGGGTGCTTTTGTGCAGTGCCCAGCCTTCACAACCTTACGCTTGGGTCCTAGAGACAGACGACTTATATTCTCGTTCCATCTGACAAGTAACCTCCATCAAATAGTTCCTCCCCTCTTTTCCTCAATTTCCTTATTGCGGTCAAAAGGGGAGAGACTGAACCTAGAAATCCCTAAGATACGTTGCAGCTCCAACGTGCTTTGAGTCTTCAAATATGTATTGAGCACGTGTAAGGCATTCTGTGAAGTTTGCCAGTGGAGATGGCTGACATCAATGAAGCAGAGCCTTCACGTCCAGTCTGACTCTAAATTGCAGCAGTTCCTCAATCCTGATTTTTGAAAAAGAGGTTACATTTTCTCTATGGACCCAAATACAATCGCCCCCCTGAATCATCAGGGATATTCTCCCTGCTTTCCATAGTCGTCACTAGCAACCACTGAAACTCCCCGATGTAAGTGTCCAGTCTGCAAAATGCTACCTCTTGTGGTGGGGTTGGTGGCAACCAAGTGAGGGCATTGGGTTGTCTCTGAGGCCTGTGTGGGCACGTGCAGCCCCGGGCATCTCGTCTCCATGGCAAACCTTTTCAAGGGGGATCTTGGCCGCTGATATTTAGGCTCTGATTAGCTACCGGCTGCAGAACCCCACTCCCAATCTGGATCCCACATCATTAAGACTGTGTCAGTTCTCAGGATGGCACTGAGGTCATCCTCTGGAGCTGTGCTTCTGTTCCATAAGGATGATGAAATTTTGTTCAACCAGCTGTGACAGGACCCTGGCTGGTAAGTTTTAGAATGATTTGTCATACGTACGTGTGCAATGGGGACCCATGAACTCTAACCTGGGAGATTTTTCCCCTTTAACTTCAAGTTCTCAAATTAGACACCCAGATATTTTTGGGGGTTGTTTTCAGTGGGATCTTTTTTCTTTTTGTCTTGAGTGATTATTACAGAAATGTAGTCGCTCTGATTCCTAGTCCCTTGTTTGACTTAAAAAAAAAAAAAAAAATCAGCCCAGACCCATCTCCTTTGGGCCCCTACTGTGTCCACCAGAGTCAGCTGACCCCACAGAGCCCGACGTTCATAACGTCCCCGTTTCAGGCCCCTCCCTGGCTCGCAGAGCAGACCCTGTGCCACAGAAGAGTGGGCGTGAGGGTCGTGAGTGTGAAGACGGAGAGCAGGTTACTGGGCCGTGGAGCCACCCCGATGCCACCACCACCCCGCCCCCGTGGCCCCAAAGCCACGTGACCCACACGCCTATTTGGGCGACACAGGGCCGGCTGCACACCCCTCCTGAGGGCCTGACCCCCCTCCAGCCTCTGATCCCCTCCTCTCCGTTGTCTATTTCAGCTTCCTAGTTCCAGGACGGAGCAGAGCCCTTGACAGCTCACTGAAATCCTTACCGAGTGAACGGATGGATGAATAAGCAATTTTCAAAAGAGGTCACGGGGTTCAGAGACAAAAGATCTTCAAACTAGTCCTAAT